GTAGCCCATAATTGTTCTTTTATGCTGAATTTCTGAGCACAGAATACTCACAGAATTCTCTTTCTTCATACATATTTTAATATCTGATATGATTTTGAGTTAGAGTTGGTAAAATAATATTCATAGTAAACATTTTTCCTTAAAATGTCTTCAGTTTTAAACAGAACAATTTTTCAGAAAAATATTTCTTTTCAGTTTTTTACTGGATACCTTAAAAGCATTTTAATAAAAATAGTTCAGATTGAAATATACTGTGTCAGACATTCTAATGCAATATATATATTACACAGACTCATTTAATTCTCTTTGTTCTTTATTGTAGTTATTCCAGCAATGCTGGATATAAATATTGTTTCTGTTTTACCACTGGAGAAACAATGATACACAGATATGAGTTAGGTGAGATGCACCAGTTTAGTAAGTGATAAGCATTAGTATGTAAATAAAATCTTTCCAACCTGAAGCCTAACCATTCTTAACACTATCTTAATATGCTTACAAACAAATAAACTTGTTCTCATACATTCAGTTAAATATGCACGAAGTCACATTTGCTAATTGAAATGAAGCAAAGGGCATCCCTGAAATTTGCAAAGATATAATTAAACCAACAAGTAGAGAGGTAATAATTTGATATCTAGAAATAGATAAAACAATATCATAAGTTTTATGAGGATTAAACGAAAGTACCTGAGTTAAAATAAAAGAAAGTTCTTGTCAATATTCCTGATGCAGAACAGTCATTCAGAATGGTAATTTCATCCTACTAATACCTTCTCAATATAGGTAAAACCACAAAAGACAGACTGAATTGAATCGTACCCTAAAAAATACAAATTAGATTTTACCCAAGAGATAGAGTTTATAGCACAGGTAAATCTCTCTCCTGCTCTAAAATATAAGGAAGTAAACATTAAAGTACAAACATACATTAGAATGGATATTACTCTTGTGGAGCAGATTAAACATTGAATCAAACACTGACTTATTAGTTCAGTAAAATTTTAAGCAAAAACCAAATTGCCAATCTTGATATATAATGGTGTTAATTAACATACTTTTCTCATTTAAAACTTAAAATTTTGAGATGCTTTCCAGTTGCCTATTTGAGTAATAAACCTGGAAAATGTTTTAAATATCTGCCTCTTCTGTATTGCTGGTATATAAGTCAAAGTGTGTTCAGATTCCTGGTGGAAAAAATACCCATATTTCTTGTTATAAGGCAAAAGAAAAAATGGAAATTTTAATATTAAAAAGAAAACAAGAAATTAAAAATTTTGCAAATTAAATAATTGTCTACAGAAAAGATGATCCTCAGATGAAAAACTATTAGCATTTTGATGACAGTAGTGTTGAGTTCAGAATATAGAGACAGGTGTGAGGTCCCAGGGGCGTCTTGCAGTCCCACCCCCATCCGAAGCTCTTCAATCGCCAAAAGCCAGGTGAGACAAGCAGCTTGAAGCTCCTGGGCTCTCCCGGGCCCCGCCCACGCCACAGTGAGGTCCGCTTAGCCACACAGGCACCTCCAAGGCTCAGTCCTGCCTCCCCCGCCCCGCGCCTCTGGCCTTCTGGCTTTTCTGCTACTTGGTCCCACACTACAGAGGCACAGGAGATTATAAAGACCCTTGTCCTGAGTGCCAAAGATAGAGCAGAAGTTAGTAACAGAAAGAGGGCTTCTCAGTCTCCTCGATGAAAACTGAAGCTCAGCAAAAAAGTAAAGAGAACCTCTACAATAAAGGCACATCAGACCACTGTACTTGGTCTGCTGCTGCCTTGCTGAGACTCATTGACTCGTATATGCACACGGATTCCTACACTGCCTACTGTGACAGCAGAGACATACCCTGAAGGAGGCCCATGATTTTTATTGCTATTTGCAAAAAAGAAAAAAAAATATTTTTCTCTTATTTTTAATTCTTAATTTTTACTTTTTTTACTCTTCAAATTTTTACTTTTCTTTCTTTTCTTTCTTTTACCTTTTCTCTTTTTCTCTCTCTCTCACTCATTCTCTCGCTGTCCCACATTGCTCCTCATCTCCCCATTTGTTCCTTTCTGCACTGAATTCAGATTTTTCCCTTATTGTTCTTTTCTTCTCTTTTTTCCTTCTCTTATCATTAGGTTTAAAGGAAAGTAAATTCAGTATCTAGCCTCCCTGTAGCTGTTAGGTGATTCTATTCACATCTTTGTTCTTTCGTTCCACCTTTTTCTCTTGCCTTTGAAAACTTCTTAGAGTTTGTGTGATCTTTCTGTGTCTTCTGGCCTCACCGCTAATCTTACATGTTCTTTCTACCTGTCCCTCCCTTCCCAACTCCTTTTAACTCCCCACCCCGAAGGGGAAAGATGCTATATTGAAGAGTTTATTCATTATAAAGTTATGTTGGGCTGGTCCTCAGTTTTAATTTAACTCACATAGTTAAATGTGATAGATTAATAACTACCACAAATTGCCATTTTCTAAGCTGTGCTTGATGCTATGGTATTGCTGAATATGTCATTTGGGCTAAAATGTTGTGATTGATCTAATTAGTTTTCCTTCCTGGTATAAGGAAAATAAAATAGCCTCAGAGTCATGAGAGCCTCAAAACCCAAACACAAGCTATATCTGGAAGACACCTCTGAAAAGCAATCATTACACAAGGATTTTAAACACAAGCAACAAAGATACTTACATTAAGCAATTTTGAAATATCAACCTAGGAATTAAACCAAGGACAGAACCAAAAACAAAAATAGGAAGACACTTAAGCAAGGCACAAATGCAGGCTTCCATGCCACAAAAAGGAAATTCTGGGGGAAATGAGGTGGAAAAGTCTGACAAACAATCACTTGGACACCCTGAACTGATAGCACAGGAAGTAACAAAGCAGATGCATGAGGCTGTAGAAAATTTCAAAACAGAAATAATCTCCCAGATAAATACAGACATGATGAGCAGAGTGAAAGACATGATTAGAAGCTGTAGAGCAGAAACAGATAAGAAAATAGATGAGATCAAAAACATACTGAAAGCCATGAATGCCCAGCATGAGAAAGAAAGGGAAAACATGAACACCAAACATAAGAAAGAAATGGAATCCATGAAACAGATTCAAACAGATATTCAGGAGATTAAAAACTCCACTGAAAGCATGCAGAGCAGATTAAGAGAATCTGAAGACAGAATATCAGATATAGAAGACCGGATTGCACTTAAGGACCATGAAAACAGAGATTTCGTAAAGATAGTAAGGGACCATGAGAAATCAATAACAGCTGCTAGATGATGCAAAGAAGAATAACATAAGACTCATAGGAGTCCACAAAAAAAACAGAAGAAAGTACAATTGACATAAAAAAACTCTTCACAGAAGTAATAGTAGAAAACTTCCCAGACAGAAGTAGAGAATTGGACGTACAGATGAGTGAGGCATGTAGAACTCCAACTAACCATGACCAAAAAAAATCTGCACCTAGATATAAGTCAAGATCCCAGAGACCCAACAGAAGAACAAAATCCTACAAGCAGTTAGAGAAAAGAAACAAATCACCTACAAAGGAAAGCCAATCAGAATCATGGCAGATTTCTCAACACAAACCTTCAAATCAAGGAGAGCCTGGAGTGAAGTATTTCAAGCCCTAAAAAAAAATAACTTCCTACTTAGACTGTTGCATCCTGCAAAATTATCTTTCCAAATCAATGGGGAAATTAGATACTTTCACAACAAAGAACACCTGAGAAACTTCATGAGAACCAAACCAGCACTCCAAATAATTTTAAGCAATATCCTAGAAAAAGACAATGAAGCTTACAACTCCATGAGGCCCAGTAGAGAGAAGGCACCATGCAAGGTAAGACACTAAAGTGAAAGGTGGGGGGGGGGGATAAGAAATAAAAGAGCCAACAACAGTAAAACATCATGACAAGGATGAGTCAATATCTCTCAATTATAACTATCAGTGTTAATGGCCTCAATTCACCAATCAAAAGAAATAGACTGGCAGAATGGATTAAAAAGGAAAATGCAACAATATGCTGTATACAAGAAACACACCTAACTCAAAAAGAAACTCATAGACTGAAAGTAAAAGGATGAAAAACAGTTCTCCATGCCACAGGAACCCAGAAGAAAGCAGGGGTAGCAATCTTATTTGCAGACAAAGTACATTTCAAACCAAAACTAATTAAGAGAGACAAAGATGATCACTACATCCTTGTGAAGGGAACAATCCAAGAGGAATAGATAATAGTCCTAAATATATATGCATCAAATACGAATGAACCCAACGATACAAAATAAATATTAATGGACATGAAAAACCAAATAAGCACTAATACAACTGTAGTGGGGGACCTCAACACCTCTCTATCACAAATAGACAGATCAACTAGAAAAAAATTAACAATGAAATTCTAGAACTAAACCAAGCTGTTGAACAAATGGACTTAATAGATGTTTACAGAGTGTTCCACCCCACAAAATCAGAATACACATTCTTTTCAGCTGCACACAGATCGTTCTCCAAAATAGATCACATGGTAGCTCACAGGACATGTCTAAGTCAATGTAAAAGAATTGAAATTACTCCCTGTATATTATCAGACCATAGTCCAATACAATTGGAGATCAATAACATAAACCACAAAACTCCCACAAACACATGGAAATAAACAATGGAGACTAAGAGAATGATACAAAAAATCAATGAATCAAAGAGTTGGTTTTTTGAAAGAATAAATAAAATCAATAAACTTTTAACCAACCTTATCAAAAAAAGGAAAGAACAGGCTCAAATCCATGCAATTAAGAATGAAAAAGGTGAAGCCACAACAAATCCAGCAGAAATCCAGAGAATCATCAATACCTACTTTGAGAACCCATACTCTAATAAAATGGAAAACACAGAAGAAATGGACAGAGTCCTAGATACATATGAATTGCCAAAATTAAATGAAGAAGATATAGAAATTCTAAACACCCCAATAACAATGAGTAAAATGGAAAATGGAATAAAAAACTTACCAACAAAGAAAAGCCCAGGTCCTGATGGCTTCACTGCTGAATTCTGCAAGACATTTAAAAAAGAACTATCACCATTACTCTTTAAACTCATCAAGGAAATTGAAAGGGAAGCAA